CATAACTGTTACAACATTTAATTTCTCTGAAATGTCATTAAGCATTATACTATCTAAATCAAAAACATTAAAAAAAAGGTAGTGGCCAAAAAAAAAGAAAAAAAGAAAAAAGAATTGCAACAAAAAAAAATGTGAAATAAAAGTTTATGGCCAAAATGAGAAAGTATTATTAAAATTGTATGCAAACTATTGTGACTAAGCATTCAAAATTTATAGACTATGTATATCTACTACTAGAAATCACATGGGCTACTGTTTTATGTTTAGTTACGCAATGACAAAAAAAACATCGACCCATGTGATTTTCAGCCATGTTGTTTTTCAATAGATATTGTGTTCCTTGTAAAGTTTTTTACATAGTAGATAAAGTGATATTATAAGATATGCTAGCTCTATGCCAGAAATGAAGGTAATCACGTACGGGGAAGCATTTTTATTTGTTTGAAGTCACGTGCAAAGTAGTAACCACAAATTATGTGAAAATATTTACAAATTGTCAGTGTGGGGCTCATAACTTCTGGATTTCATGTGTGATTTTTACAGAATTAAAATTGGTCAGCTTTTAAGAATACACTAATGTGAGTTATAAATTTCAGTGTGATAGAGTCAGACAATTCTTCTCCAGGAGAGTCCAAAAATGTATAAGATTTTGGCTTATATCTCCAAGAATAGTTGAGCTACTACAGCCAAATTTGTTGTCAAAGCTATGTACCAAATTTGAAAGAAATTGTTTAAGTGGAATTCTTTTTTTTTCACTAGTGGGAAGAAGAAAACGAAGAATTTCAGGCTAGGTTTGACCTACTGTACAATGATAAAAGTTAAGAGAAATTTTTGATATTTGGTGACCAGGAAGGCATATCGTACAAAAAATGTGAGAGTTTTGATTAATTGGGGCGATTATATGGACAGTTGAAAAGTTTTCATTCCCATTTATAACACATTGGATATATTTTACCGCACAACACGTATCTTGGGGAAAAACTCACAGAGCCCAAAAGGATTTATTGCAAAGTAGTTGACACTCTTAGAATCTTCACCATCTACTTATAATATGACCCAATATTTCATGAATGTTGAACACCATTTATCCAAGTTATGAAAAGTCTTTAATATTAAAACAGTTCCCGAAGTAAAGCAATAACTGGAAAATGATCTTTAATTTTATTTCCTTTTCATGCCATTCACGTACTAAATTACCGATAAAAAGGTCAGAAGCTAGAATTAAACTTTATAGATACCGAGTACACTCCTATGCTACTTGATACTTTCATTAAAATCAAAGCAGAACCAATAGACAAAATATACACGGTTTGCTTCTTTGTATTCTGAAATCTTCTTCCACTCAAAGTAAAACTAGTACAAAAAATATATATATTGTTTGCTTCTTCCATTCAGAATCAGAGATTTGATATCTTGGAAGTAAATGAACACTCACTTGGGCTTCAGCTTACAGTGGTAGTGCATGTGACGGATCAGGAAAGTATTGTACTTGTACAACTTTTTACACCAAGGGCAACAGTTCATTGGTTGTTCTTGCCGAGCAAAACCTGGATTACAAAACACAGGTTCATCCTCAAAATCATAGTGAGCATCTGTCAAAATCCAACAACAAAACACACTGAAAAGTATCACTTCATGACATTAATTGTTCCTGTGTTTTACTAAACACTTCAAAACCAAGAAACGTGACATTTTTATGCAAAAATCATGTTACAATTTATATTTATCATAAAGAAACACAAGATACAAGAGACACACTGCACGTAAAAGGAATAACACATTTTGAATGCAGAGAAGGAATATTAGACTTGTGTTTTTAATTAACATAAGATCAGTTACCTCAAGCAGGAAAATTTCATTTTCTACACAAAGAATACTAAAATGGTTTATGTGGCAACCTCTTTATTTCACATAAACTTAGCAGTATTTTTCAAGGCTGAAAATTATATAAATATTTCCAGTGTTGATATGTGTATTACTAGTAGAGTAAACACACATTCAGGAGTTATTATTTCCTGGTCCAATTTGATGCTCCCAACCTGGCTAGAATGTACTGGATTACTAGTAGAGTAGATACTTGTTGAGGAGTTATTATTTCTCCAACCAGTTTGATGTTCCCAAGCTGGCTAGAATGTACTGGATTACTAGTAGAGTAGATACGTGTTGAGGAGTTATTATTTCCTGGTCCAGTTTGATGCTCCCAACCTGGCTAGAATGTATTAGATTACTAGTAGAGTAGATACTTGTTGAGGAGTTATTATTTCCTGGTCCAGTTTGATGTTCCCAAGCTGGCTAGAATGTATTGGATTACTAGTAGATACTTGTTGAGGAGTTATTATTTCTCCAACCAGTTTGATGTTCCAAAGCTGGATAGAATGTACTGGATTACTAGTAGAGTAGATACTTGTTGAGGAGTTATTATTTCCTGGTTAAGTTTGATGTTCCCAACTTGGCTAGAATATATTGGATTACTAGTAGAGTAGATACGTGTTGAGGAGTTATTATTTCCTGGCCCAGTTTGATGTTCCCAAGCTGGCTAGAATGTACTGGATTACTAGTAGAGTAGATACGTGTTGAGGAGTTATTATTTCTTGGTCCAGTTTGATGCTCCCAACCTGGCTAGAATGTACTGGATTACTAGTAGAGTAGATACTTGTTGAGGAGTTATTATTTCAACAACCAGTTTGATGTTCCCAAGCTGAGTAGAATGTACTGGATTACTAGTAGATACTTGTTGAGGAGTTATTATTTCAACAACCAGTTTGACGTTCCCAACCTGGCTAGAATGTACTGGATTACTAGTAGAGTAGATACGTGTTGAGGAGTTTTATTTCTCCAACTAGTTTGACGTTCCCAACCTGGCTAGAATGTACTGGATTACTAGTAGAGTAGATACTTGTTGAGGAGTTATTATTTCCTGGTCCAGTTTGACGTTCCCAACCTGGCTAGAATGTACTGGATTACTAGTAGAGTAGACAAGTGTTGAGGAGTTATTATTTCTCCAACCAGTTTGACGTTCCCAAGCTGGCTAGAATGTACTGGATTACTAGTAGAGTAGATACTTGTTGAGAAGTTATTATTCCCTGGTCCAGTTTGACATTCCCAACCTGGCTAGAATGTACTGGATTACTAGTAGATATGTGTTGAGGAGTTATTATTTCTCCAACCAGTTTGACGTTCCCAAGCTGGCTAGAATGTACTGGATTACTAGTAGAGTAGATACTTGTTGAGGAGTTATTATTCCCTGGTCCAGGTTGACATTCCCAAGCTGGCTAGAATGTGCTGGATTACTAGTAGAGTATATACTTGTTGAGGAGTTATTATTCCCTGGTCCAGTTTGACGTTCCCAAGCTGGCTAGAATGTATTAGAAGATAAATGCTGCTGACGGTAATGAAGTAACATGGAATGTTTCCTTGTGAAAACCTTTCCACACACTGGGCAGGGAAAGTTTCGATGACTTCTGTGTTGGTAATGAAAGTGTGATCTCTTAGTTTCGCTGCATCTGAATGTCTTGTTACACACGCTGCATTTATATCTGGAAATATTGTTTCCATGCTCTACACAGTGTTCTGAAAGAGAACCAAGTATGTTAACTAGTTTTTTTTAAAAAATTGAATTCTTACGATTTTCAAAATATAAAACCCACAGATATCTTTTGAAATGATGCAAACAACAGTTATAAAATCAAGTCGTAATCAGTAACAAATAATTTACTGGAATCATCCATTCATAAATACTTATACAGGCTCTCAACTAAATATACACAGGATACACTCATTCAAGATGGGGAAGGCAACTGTTCACACAATTAGACAATTTTTACACAAACTCTTGATTGCCACCTTTGTGATTGAGCAGAACCTTGAAGAGTTCAATATAACCTTCATATTACAGTTGTTGCAGGCACTAACAGCAGAACAAATAGTGCTTGTTTTAGTGTAACAGTTGTGGCAGGCATTAATGGCAGTACAAACAGTGCTAGTTTTCAGTGTGACAGTTGTGGCAGGCATTAACGGCATGACAAACAGTGTTAGTTTTCAGTGTAACAGTTGTGGCAGCCGTTAACAGCATGAAAAACATTGCTCGTTTTCAGTGTAACAGCTGTTGCAGGCACTAACGGCAGGAAAAACAGTGTTAGTTTTTAGTGTAACAGTTGTGGCACATTATCACTGCAAGGTAACAAAATTTTATTGTTGATCATAGCTCAATTACATTGTGTGTTTGAATCAACCTGGCAAAATATTAAAGTTAACCCTCATAGTAGTACGAGTCAAACTTGTAAACAAGTCTAACCTATAAACAATGCATTTATGAAAGTATTGGTTTATGTTTGTTAAGAAAGTATCATTCCTTGAGAATATAATTATTTCACTGGTTTTTATTTCTACAACTGATGTCAATCCGAGCTTTCCTTATTAGCCAGTTTTTTTATGATTACTGTAGCAAAATGCAAGACATTCCAGTATCAATACACAGAGCAATCACCCATTTATAGTTCATTACACTGTAGTATTACTGGAAAGAATTGGAGCCTCAGTTATGCATGAGCCAATTACTGCTAATGTTTCCAACAGTCATTAATCCACAATTTACAATTTATTAAGCAGTAACAACATGTAACAGAAGCATATTCATAAAGAATAATAATTAATAAAACATTTTCTTTCTGCACTTCAGTAGGCATGTGTATTCTAAATAAAAAGATAATTAATTTTTAATCGTCTTTTAAATAGATCATTCTTGCTTGCCTATAAAAATAAATACAAATAACAAACCTTCTATGAATTAATATGAAGTCAGAAAAACAACAACAAAAAAATACTTAAAATCATGTTGCTTTGTTGACATTCCAGTTTGGTAAGATCATGTTACTTTGTGGACATTCCAGTTTGATAAAATCATGTTGCTTTGTTGATATTCCAGCTTGATAAAATCATGGTTCTTTGTGGACATTCCAGCTTGATAAAATCATGTGGCTTTGATGACATTCCAGTTTGATAAAATCATGTGGCTTTGATGACATTCCAGTTTGATAAAATCATGTTGCTTTGCTGACATTTCCATTTCATATGACCATGTCTATACTTTCTAGTTTCCCAGACATCATGTTTGGAATTAACATATGATTTGTTATAGTCATTATCCATGAAAATGGTTCTAAGCTTGTGAAGTCATATTAATCAAGTTTTCTGAATACCTTAGATATCAAATAATGAATTATTAAGAAAGCATATTAACAAACTAACACTTATATGTATAGCGACATTTTCAGCTATGGCACCTCTGAATTATTGAATCTTATTGCTATTACTGGGAGAAAATCAGTCACCAATCAGAAATTCAATGTTTACCTTCACCTTGAAAGTATAAATGTTCAAAATACACAATGAATAAAATAAATTAAGTGAACAAATTATTGATTTACATTTTTCATATAGCTAAATTATAACACAATATTACTGAAAGTGCAATTTGTCCTTTTACAACAAATTAACAGAACACCAACACCCCCTAGCTTTCTGTGACATGTGGGGTAAATACAGGGTGTCTATATATTAATTTCAACAGTGGATATTTTCAACCTACGATGCTAACACAGCCTTACAACCCATATGTAAGTCAAGGATAGAATCCTGGAGGGTTAGGACTACAATCTATGGGTAAGTCTTACGATGGTATTCTGGAGAAAACTTCTCATCCCTTCCTTAAGATTTTCCCAGATGAACAAGAATGTCTAGGGTTAAGGACTACAATCAGTAGGTAAATCTTAGGATGGTATTCTGGAGAACTTTCCTTCATGTTTACAGGCAATTCATGTGAACATTTTACTTATGTGAACACTACTAAACATTTTACTTATGTGAACAATACTGACTATCTTACAATGTGAACACTACTAAACATTTTACTTATGTGAACAATACTGACTATCTTACAATGTGAACACTACTAAACATTTTACTTATGTGAACAATACTGACTATCTTACAATGTGAACACTACTAAACATTTTACTTATGTGAACAATACTGACTATCTTACAATGTGAAAACTACTAAACATTTTACTTATGTGAACACTACTGAATATCTTACAATGTGAACACTACTAAACATTTTACTTATGTGAACAATACTGACTATCTTACAATGTGAAAACTACTAAACATTTTACTTATGTGAACACTACTGACTATCTTACAATGTGAACACTACTAAACATTTTACTTATGTGAACACTACTAAACATTTTACTTATGTGAACACAACTAAACATTTTACTTATGTGAAAACTACTAAACATTTTACTTATGTGAACATATTAAACATTTTACTTATGTGAACACTACTAAACATTTTACTTATGTGAACACTATAAACATTTTACTTATGTGAACACTACTAAACATTTTACTTATGTGAACACTATTAAACATTTTACTTATGTGAACAATACTAAACATTTTACTTATGTGAACACTACTAACTGTCTTACAACATTCTTTATGTGAAGATTCTGAAAATAAGAGTATCCTTTAGAATCAGTATACAAGATCGAAATATTATAAATATTTAACTTGTAAATATAAGTGGGAGAACAATATGTAAACAGTGTAAATGAGTTATTACTGAATACGTACCACCACACTAAGATTAACGACCAGTTATGAGAAAAAATGCTGTCAACAATAATATCATATTTCTTCTTTTGTGCATCTGTTTGTAGTTGATAGTCTGTCTTATAATAAACTTTGTGTGTAAGTATTTTAGCACTGCCAGATTTGCTCCAGAATATCTCATGTTTAGGTGTTCTGATATAAATAATGTTGCTCCAGAAGGTATCAATTATACTACTCCAGAATGTGTCACATGTAAGCTTTCTGTTGTAAATTATGGGACTACTGAATGCATCACATGTAGACCTTCTGGTATAAATCATGCTACTCCAGAATGTGTCACATGTAGACCTTCTGGTATAAATCATGCTACTCCAGAATGTGTCACATGTAGACCTGGTATAAATCATGCTATTCCAGAATGTGTCACATGTAGACCTTCTGGTATAGATCATGGTATTCCAGAATGTGTCACATGTAGACCTTCTGGTATAAATCATGCTATCCAGAATGTGTCACATGTAGACCTTCTGGTATAAATCATGCTACTCCAGAATGTGTCACATGTAGACATTCTGGTATAAGTCATGCTACTCCAGAATGTGTCACATATAGACCTTCTGGTATAAATCATGTTATTCCAGAATGTGTCACATGTAGACCTTCTGGTATAAATCATGCTATTCCAGAATGTGTTACATGTAGACCTTCTGGTATAAATCATGCTACTCCAGAATGTTTCACACGTAGACCTTCTGGTATAAATCATGCTACTCCAGAATGTGTCACATGTAGACCTTCTGATATAAATCATTCTATACTATATGCAAGCCTCCTGATGTGAAGTATACTGTCCAAAAAATACTTCACCTGAAGGCCTTTAAAAGCAACTTTAGCTGCTTTAACACATGCATGGGCCTTTACCGAGTTCAATTTCTCTAGAGTATATTACTTGTAGACCTTTTGGTAAAGATACCATTACTAGTGTCAGTAACATTGTTCTGCATATTAGGAACATTGCAGTTTCTTGTTACAACGATGACATAAATTGCAGCACATTAAACACAAGTAAACATGATAGGTGACATCAAATACCATAATAAGATTTTTAACTTTAGGATTAAAAACATTTTGAACAAAATTATATGTGGTACATACACTCCACTTTACATGATACATATCACTATTTACTGTTTTATCTAAATCAATAATCTCTCCAATAGGAATACTTCCAAGAACCACATGATAAGAAAGATGCTGATAATATTCCAGGCCTCATATAGGGACCTTTGTTTAACACTGGAAAGCTTTAGGTAAGTTAAAAAATGTACTTTTGTTCAAAAAGACTTACAATTAAAAAAAACTGCTACACAGACTTCGTATGATCAAAATGCTAAAAGTTACTATACTACAAGGTTACTATAGAACATCCTACATCCCTGAAGGTGAACAGAACATGGTTACTACAGAATATTCTACATCCCTGAAGGTGAACAGAACATGGTTACAACAGAACATTCTACATCCCTGAAGGTGAACAGAACATGGTTACAACAGAATATTCTACATCCCTGAAGTTGAACAGAACATGGTTACTACAGAACATTCTACATCCCTGAAGGTGAACAGAACATGGTTACTACAGAATATTCTACATCCCTGAAGTGAACAGAACATGGTTACTACAGAACATTCTACATCCCTGAAGGTGAAC